ATTTTTTTTTTTTTTTTTTTTTTTTGCCTTTTTAGGGGTTTTTCTGTTCTAGTTCATTTGCCTCTTCAGACAACTTCTGAAATCAGCTTGTTGGAAAAGAGATACTTTTTAAAAATACATTTACTGGAAAAATAAAATGAATTTAGGTATGATAGTGCATGCCTGTAATCCCAGCACTTGGGAGGCTGAGGCAGGAAAACTGCCATGAGTTCAAGGCCAGATGGCTACATAGTGAGTGCAAGGCCAGCCTAAACTATATAACAAGACTTTGTTACTTTTCTTGTTGCTGAGACAAAATACCTGACACCCAAAGTTAAAAGGAGGAAAGATTTATTGTAGCTCACAGTTGGTAGAGGTTTCAGTCCATAACCAGCTGGCTTCAAGGTAGGGTGGCATGGCAGAGGAGCATTGCAGAGGAGAAACAGTTCATGGCAGGCAGAAGGCAGTAAAAGCAGCAAGTGACAGCATCAGCCCTCTTTTCTTATATTCTATCCAGGCTACATACCCTTAGGACAGGTAGCACTTAAACCCAGGGTGGGCCTTCCCATATCCAAACCCAGAACTATGCCAGACCAATCCATGGACTAATTTAGTAATCACACACCTTTAATCCCAGCATCACTGTCTTAATCCCAGCATCATGCACTCTAGATTCAGTCTCCTCTGAAAAGCACCACCTATGACTGCACGAGGCTTTGGGAAGACATCTAGACACAAGCCATAACACACTGTCTCAAAAACAGTACAATATTAGATACCCCACATTTATAATTACAACCAACAAACATACTTTAAGTTCCAATATATTCATAGGATAATTTAGCAAAAACATTAAAATTACACATAATCTATACATGCAATGTTATGGATAATTAATGTATACAGAGGAGCATTTAAAACTTTTTGTTGCTACAAAGGTAAATAAAAAGTTATGAAGTAGCAATTACATTAAAAGTCTATAAGCACATTTAGGTATTTCACTAAGTTTTATGTGGTAATAGTACTTCATATCCAGTAAAGTATGTAAATATTGAGCACAGATTTATGAGATTTGAGATCTGTAAAAACATCACTATCACCTACATTGATAGAAAATACTTCCATTATTTAGAATGTTCCTTTTGCCTGTTTTCAGTTGTCATTCAGTCAACTGCTAATTTGACTTTTTAGACATCACAGTTCTTTTGTATATGCACTTATACATACTTTAATCATTGCCCTCTTTGCTCCTCTTGCCCCAACCTTCCTCCAGGTTCATTTGTGGGGTTTCAATGCATATATTTTGATCATACCATCCCATTACCTACCCTTACACCTCCATTTACCCTCCCTCCGATTCCTTCCTCTTCTCTAATAGTTGTCTCCCTTCTACTTTTGTTTCATATTTTTTAGATCCACATATTAGGGAGAACATGTGATATTTGTGTTTCTGAGCCTGGCTTATTTCACTCAACATAGCAATTTCCAGAACCAATTTTCTTGAAAATGACAAAATTTCATTCTTTATGGCTAATACCCCATTGTGAACATATACCCCATTTTCTTCATTCATCTGTTTATAGGCACCTAGCCTGGTTCCACATCTTGGCTATTGCAAATTATACCACAATGCACATGGGTATGCCAACATCCTTCTAGTATGCTGATTTTTAGTCTTTTGGCATATAACAAGGAATGGTACAGCTGCATCAAATAGTATCTCTTTTAGCTGAGGAACCTCCATACCGATTTCCATAGAGCCTGTACTAATTTACCTACCTTTCAATAGAGGGTTTGTTTTTCCCTGCATCCTTTCAGAACTTACCAGCTACCTGCATGCTGGGATTACGGATGTGCACTACCATGCCTAGCTTATTTTTTGTATTCTTGATGATGGCCAATCTGACTATAATGAGATGGAATTTCAACTGTTAATTTTGATTTGCATTTCTCTAATGACTAAAGATGTTGAACACTTATTTTTAAAGAATTTTTCATTAGTATGTTTGTAGTAGTGATTACATTCATTGTGGGGAATTGGTACATGTACATAACACATCTCAATTCTATTTTTCCCTTCCCCTCCACCTCATTTCTTCATATACTTGGTCATTTGTACTTCCTTGAAAAATGAATTTGCCCATTTATTGATAGACTATTGGATTTTGTGGTGCTATAGGTATTGTTATGTATTTTAGATATTAATCCTCGATCAGAAGGGTAACAGGCAGATTTTCTCCCCTTCTGTAGGCCATCTCTTCATTGTTAGTTGTTTACATTGCTGGGCAGAAACTCTTTAATTTGCTGTAGTCCCATTTATTGATTCATGCTATTATTTCTGTTATCTGTACTATTCAGAAAGGTTTCACCTATTCCTGTGGCTGTTTACCGTTTTATTGTAGCAGTTTCAAAATTTCAGGTCTTGAACCTAGATCTTTAATCTATTTTGAATTGGCTTTTTTACCTGATGAGAGGAAGGGATCTACTTTTAATCTTCCACCAGTGGATACCCAGTTTTCCCAGCACCATTTGTTGAAGATGTTGTCTTTTTTCCAGTGTATTTTTTTTTTGGGGGGGGGGTTCTTTTGTCCAGAGCCAAATGGCTGTATTTGCTTGAGTTTGTTTCTACCCTCTCTTTTCTGTCATTGATCTTGTGTGTGTGTGTGTGTGTGTGTGTGTGTGTCAGTACGATGCTGTTTGTTTCTATGGCTTTGTAGTGTAATTTAAAATCAGGTGTTTTGATGCCTCCAACTCTGCTTTTTGCTTAAGATTGTAAGATTGCTTTGGCTATTCTGGTCTGGGCCTTTTCTGTTACGTGTTATAGTTTATAGCTAGCTGTCCTGGAAAGTTGCATGTACTCATAGGTGGGCTTTGGGGAGGTGACTGGATCATGGGGATGGGTTTATAGCTGGGTGTGATATTGGGTGGTGAAGCCCGATGTGTCACTGTGGGTGTGAACTGGAAGGGTATATATCCCTCCTCCTTTCCTTTCTGCTCTGCTTCCTACCTGCCATGCCAGCCCACCTTGGAGCCACAGAAACCTCTACAAACTGTGAGCCAAAAATAAATCTCTCCTCCTTTCACTTGTAGGTGTCAGGTATTATGTCTCAGTGACCAAAAAGTAACAGACAGTTTCCATATAAATTTTAGAATGTTTTTCTAGTTCTGTGAAGAATGTCACTGGTATTTTGATGAGGATTGCAATGAATCTGTAGATCACTTTTGGTAACACGGCCATTTTAACAATGGATTCTACTGATTTATGAACATGGAAGATCTTTGCATCTTTTTTTTTTTTTTTTTGGTACTGGAGATCAACTCAGGACCTTGCACTTGCAAGTCAGGCACAGCACCACTGAGCTAAATCCCTGGCCCGTTTCGCATCTTCTAGTGTCTTCTTCAGTTACTTTCTTCAGTGTCATGAAATTTACATTGCAGAGGGCTTTCACCTCCCTGGTTAGATTCATTCCTAGGGATTTTGCATTTTTTTTTTAAGCTATTGTAAATGGAATTGTTTTCCTGATTTTTTCTCAGCAACTCTGTTATTGGTATACAAAAAGCTATGCTGATTTATATAGTCATTTTGATGAATTCATTTATCAGTTCTAAATGTCTCTTGGTGAGGTCTTTAGGGTCTTCTAAGTATAGGATCATATCATCTACAAGTCAAATATTGACAGGGCTGGGGATTTAGCTCAGAGGTACTGCTTCTGCCTTGAAAATGCAAGGTCCTGAGTTCGATCCCCGGTACCACCCACACAAAAAAATTCAGATATTGCCATATCAAGTAAAAGCAACAACTATGCCACCACTGAAAACAGAAATCAGCAAAAATATAAACTAAAAGGCTAAAAATTCATAAATATTAACTAATAAAAATGGAAAGGAGAGGAAAAATGAAAGACAGTAAAATTTAAAAAACAAAAGGATGAGTAAGAAAAGTGAAAAAAATCCAATTAAAGAACAGAACAAAACAAAAAAAAGTGAAAGAAAAATGAATCCAAAAACTTCTTCCACACTGAGGTGTCCAGGTGGGTGATATCTTCCTAGGACCTGCAGTGTCAGAATCCACCACATACGGGAGGCGTGACTGAGTCACAGCTGTAGCCCACTGCTTCTACACCTACTAAGCAAAGGTTTTCATAAAGTTCTTTAAACAATGTGTGGTATACAGTAAATGCAAAATACCGGATACAAATGATAATGAGCCCTATTTCCAATGAATTCATGCCTAACTACATTTCTACAGTTTACTTATATATACTGTAATGACTGATGTTCTTTCAAATTGGTTACAAAGATTTTGAGAGGAATAAGAGAGTTTAGAGCTGTCAATGCTGGAATACATAGCTCATGTACTTGGCATGCACAACACTTGGGGCCTTGGGTTCAATAATCAGAATATTTTCTAAAAGCTATTATTTTAAAAAAATATATTTTTAAAAAGTGATTATATCCTCAGTTTTACCAATTTTACTATAGCCCAGATTTATTATTTTAAAAATATGCACACACCATTGAAATACGTATTTAAGCTGGGGATTTGGCTCAGTGGTTCCACTGCCTGCCTCACAAGCACAAGGGCCCGAGTTCGATCCCTGGTACAAAAAAAAAAAAGAGAAATATGTATTTAAGATATACAGATACAAATATGTATTTAAAATTTATCTTAAAATGCCTATTTTATTTCAGTAGCCAATGACCATCAAGCAAGCAGAGAAAAGAAAACTAATTTCATGAAGAAAGACAAATCGTTGGAGTGGTTTACAGGAAGTGAAGAATAGGATGGTTCAATTAAAGCAACTTGGAATCATTAGCTACGAAATACAAAATGCAAGACAAGTGTCAAAATGGGACACTTAAGCAATTTTCTTTAGATTTTGTTATTTTTCAAACTTCTATGTACAAGTTATACAGAGTAATAGCTAAAAAAAATCAACCTATGAAAATAGTAATTAGCAATATAAAGTTTTCATCTGATACTTTTTTGTCTTCAAATCCATTGTGGTCATCTGAGATACTCAGTTAAATTGTGGTTTGACCTTCCTCAACTTGATAAGGAAAGCTAATTTAAAAGAAGAAAAAAAGTAATGTCATTAAATTGCACCAATTAAAAGACAAAACAACTTCATACGTATTGAAAAACATTACTCACCTGTGTGACCAATTTGCCAGTGGACAGGTCTTGCAATATAGGGAAAGGATCCATATGGGAAATCAGATTGTGATACTTCTGTTGTAGGACAAAATACAGATATAAGCTACATCAAATATTTCATAATTTGCTCACAAAAACTGCTGAAAATTACTGTCCCTTCACTGTGACTTTTGTTTTTTTGAGACAAGGTCTTCAGACTGGCCTCGAACTCACTATGTGGTCCAAGCTGGCCTTAAACTCACAGTGCTTTTCCAGGGTCAACATCCAGAATAGTGAGATTACAGCTGTGTACCACCACACACAGCTCTGACTTTTTTAAGCATTTGTTTTGGGCTACTCTGCCGGCTACTGTACAGAAATAATTTGTCAATGATTACATAATAAGCTTACAGAGGCTTTATAACCAAATGGGTAAGTCCGTATCATAAATCAGTGGATACCTGAAGACCTTAATCTACACATACAATAAGGACCTACACTTAGTTCTGTAAAGATTTCAGCAGCATCTTAGAAGTTGGTGTTTTATGTCTAAGCTTTTTTTGAGACAGGGTCTCACTACTGTAATTCTGGCTGGCCTTGGACTGTGTAGCCCAGGCTGCCTCAGATTTGCAGCTTTCCTCCTTCTCAGCCTCCTGAGGGCTGGGTTACAAATGCGCGCTGCCAGGTTAGGAGCTTGTTTGCACATAGTACTCTTAGAAGATCGGGACCCTTTAGTAATAATAACTGATCTATATTTAAGCATCCTTACCAGGTATGGTAGAACACACCTGTAATCCAGCTGAGACAGGAGGCCTGCTGGAGCTCAGGCCAGCCTGAACTACATAGTGAGACCTTGTCTTTAAAAAATAAAAACATAGGGCTGGAGATTTAGCTCAGCAGCACTGCGCCTGCCTCGAAAACACAAGGTCCTGAGTTTTGATCCCCAGTACTGCAAAATAAGTAATTTTTGGTAGAGGCAAGTGTGGTGGCGATGCCTGTAAACCCAGCACTGAGCACCTAATGCAGGAGGATTGCAAATTTGGGCCCAACCTAGGTAACGCAGACACTGTCTTAAAACAAAAAGGGCTGCCCGCCTACCTCACAAGTGCAAGGTCCCAAGTTCAATCTCCGGTGTCAAAAAAAAAAGGTGGGGGTGCTGAGGACATGAGGATGTACCTCTGTGGTCCAATCCCTAGTACCGCTAAACCAGTAAATCAATGCTGTTTTAGTATATTCAAATTTTTTCACAAACCAACCTCATGTTAACAAGCAAAATATGAATGTTATACAAGCTCAATTCTTCAAAGATGCCAGGAGTTTTACATAAAAAGTAGAGAAATTCATTATTTTATCGCTTATACATCTTAATTCAACTAAATACTGCATTTTAATTTTTATAGGAAAATAATATCTAAGGAATACTTTTATTTCCTATTGGTCAATGCACTCAGGATTCCCCTCCCCATTTAACACAGACACATGCATTAAATAAAATTGAAGCTCACCATGATAATCTTGAAACACCTCACCTTCATCTTCAGTTTCCTTTTCAGGATGTAACTGTAGATCTGTGTTGATTTTAGGTTCTACTTTTTGAGGTAAAATTCCATTTTTGGGTTTTGCACAGCAAACCAACCAGTCTCTGACAATGACCTCACTTATCTTTTCACATGACAGAGCAAGTTCAGAGGTGCGAATTCCATCTAAAAGCTCAACAACCTGTGTGATGCTTTCAGAAAAGCAAAAATGCACTTTACATTTCCACAAAAATAACTTTTAAGTTCAGAATAATTCATACTTCATTTTAAATGCTAATGCCCAAATTTAAATGCCACTGTTAAGTCAGGTTACTGTGGGTGAACATGCAGTTCAGGGCATATAACCAGTAATTTCATATGCTACATAAAAAATACAGAAACCATAATTTAATGTTACTGCTCACATCTCACTCCTAATACTTTTCTTCCAGTTAGAGGCAATATGCATGTTATGTTACTATAGATGTGAAGGATGATTTAAGCAGGAACATATTCTGCAAATGACATGCATTATGACAGTTTTATTGTTTTGAGACGGGGTCTCACTATGTAGCCCAGGCTGGCCTCAAACTCACAGCAATCCTCCTGCCTCAGCCTCCTGAGCACTGGGATTACAGACATACACCACATCATCTGGCCGCATTATAAGTTTTACAACATGACACACAAACCTTAGTTACAAAATAAATACTTTAGCTGTTATGCAGGCAAAATAAAAGTATATTTCAAAATTGCATTACAACCAGGCTTGGTGGTGCATTCCTGTAATCCCAGTACTCGGGCTAAGGCAGGAAACCTGCTGCAAGTTTGAGGCCAGCCTGGGCTACACAGTGAGTTCATGGCCAACATGACCCACATAGGGAGACCCTGTCTCTAAATCAATCAGTTACAGAGAAAAACAGTGGCATTACTTACTTTGCTAGATACACAACACATACACCACCCTGTTTAAGACGTGGGTAGAAAGTGGGCAGTGCAACTTGAGGATTTAACATATCCAAAGCTACCTGTGGGGAGGAAGAGAACTGGATCAGTCTATTCTGTTTAAAGAAAGCATACATTTCCTTTCCTTATTGCGATGAACTGACATACTTTCGGAGAGCAATTATCCAGTTTAGGGTATTTCATATTTTGTAAAAAATAGCACAATTAGCAGGGCACGATGCCACGTCAAAATAGAAAATGAAGTAAATATTTATCAAACTTTCTACATGTCAAGCATCTCACCAAGTGGTAAAGCTACAGGAGCTTACATTCTGTTTCCTTGGGACAGATGGTCTCATCCATGGAGCGATAAAAACCCAGTCAGTATATAAATATAGAGGACAGAGTAATAAGTGACAAGAAGCACTGTTTAACTATCATTACACAGCAGAATCAGAGAAACGGTGACAAGATAAGGACGTGTCATTTCCTATATAGGTTTATCATGAAGGGGTCCTAAGAAAATTATTAAGTTTACAGGATGGAAATTTAGGGAACAAGTATGTGGCAGGCAGAGAAAATAGTAAATCCAAATGCTCTGCGGCTGTGGGCTACTCGGGGAGCCTGAAAAGGCCGCAGTCACTGCAGTGGAAACAAAAGCAGGGAAATGGCAAGAGCCGCGGTCTAAACAGGAGGGATGCAGGGTGGGTGGCAAAGAAAAATGGACACTCGGGCTTCAGTTTTACTCCAGCTTTAAAAATTGATATGATTCGATTTCTTACTTTTTGTGCCTAGTAAAATACTGTAAACATGTTTCCATCTTTACCATGTACACTCAGCAGTGACTTATTTTAAACTCTACCTCCTGAAGACCATGAAAAGGAAAGGAGCAAACAGTGGTGCGGTGAGAAGGGGGACATATTTGAGGGCAGAGCCAAGAAACCCGCTAGTCCTTCAATGCTCAATTTTCAGCTAAGAGCATTATTCATGTAGTCACTCAAACCAGAACGCTGGAGTCCTCACTTTCTGTCCCCTGAATTTTTTTTAATCTGAAGTTTTTGAGGCTTCTGTTTGAATTGAAATCCCACAAATCTACCTCTTCAGTTTCTCAGTTTTACTACCACTATCATAGGTCACGACCTCATTATCTTTTTTTTTTTTTTGGAGACAGGGCCTCACCATGCAGTTCAGGCTGGTCTTGAACTCACAAGCAACCTTCCTGCCTCAGCCTCCTGAGTGCTAACCTCATTATATCTTGTTGTATTACAACAGCTTTTGGCATAGACTCCCAGCCTCCAGTTTTCTACCATAATTATTCTCAAACAAGAATCTGGGCATTCTATTCTATTTAAAATTTCATCAATAGTTTCCCATTACCTAAAAAATAGTGTCCATGAGCTCAGCTTGACACACATTCGATATTCTTCATTGCCTGGCCTCTCATAACTGTATCTGCAGCTTCTTCTCATTCGCACCCAACCCAGCCTCCATGGGTGTGTACATGACTGTCCTACTTCACATGTGACGTTTCCTGAGTGTGTAACTCAGTTTTGTTTTGGTAGTGTACAAGGCCCATAGCAAGCTCTAGCCATAGCAAGCTCTAGGTGTCTATCAAAGGTTGGCATGGTGGCACATCCTATAATGCTAGCATGCTAGGAGGCTGAGGCAGGACAGCCTGGGCAACTAAGTGATTTAGAGACCTTACCTCAAAATAACAAATTTTTTAAAAGGCTGGGGATACAGTTCAGTAATACACACAGATATACACACAAAATGTATAGCAAATCTAGAAACACGGTAGTTTAATAACTCAAAAGAAGGTGATAACCCTCCAGTTAGATGATGAAGGAATCTTCCAGGTAAAGGCTTGTATCTAAACTTCCAAGAGAGAGTAAATTTAAATAGGTACAGAAAAGGCAAAAGGAGGGTAATCATAATGAAAGTCATATCTAATATCTAATGCATGGTTTGTACCAGGTACTGTTTTATGCCCTCTACATGAATTATTTACTCCTCAAGTACCCTTGTGAAACAGGTACTATTATTTTTCTATTTTAACATAGGTTTCTGAGGGCCAGGGATTTAGCTCAGTGGTTCTGCCACCTTCCTCACAAGATCAAGGGCCTGAGTTCCATCCCCAGTACCAAAAAACAAAACAAAACAAATTTTTGAGGTCAAATTAAACTGACTATCTATATAAAGAAGCCTAGCAGTGGACCAGGTTTAATGGACTCTGAAACTATTTTAAACTATTATAAAATAATATGTATGAAATGACCACATATATAAAATTCCAGCCAGGTGTGGTGGCACAGACCTATAACCCCAGCACTCGGGAGGCTGAGGCAGGAGGATCACTGTGAGTTTGAGACCAGCCTGGGCTACATAGTGAGTCCCAGGTCAGTCTCAACTACACAGTGAGACCCTGTCTCAAAAAACAAACAAACAAACAAACAAAATCATCACCCTGAAGATAGGACATTCCCAAATAATTTCATACTTTTACTACGTATGTATGTAGCTGCAAAAAAAGTGTTCTCATTTGGAAAACAAAAATTTTTGAGACAAGTCTGGCTATGTAGGTTCAGGACTCACTATGGCCTAGAACTCACTATGCAGGGGAGGCCAGGCTAACCTTAAACTTGTGGTGATCCCCCTGCCTCAGCCTCCCGAGTGCTGGGATTATAGGCTTGTGTCACCACGCCTGGCTGGAATTTTACATATGCGGTCATTTCACACAGAGTATTTTCTAATGCTGTTTTCACGAAGCACCACGGTCTTTGAGACTTACTGATATAATATAGTAATTTACTGTTAGTATTCCACTGTGTCCATTCCTCTTCTGACAGTCACATTGTACTTATGCTTTAACATCTTTTCTATTTGTTTACCATCACTTTGGTTGGGAGGAAGCATAAGCAGGTTACACAAAGGACTGGAGTTAGAAAGGAAGGTTAAGATCACATTCTCAAGAACACTGTCTTTAAATGAAAAGCTCCTAAAGCGGGGCATGGCGGCACAGGCCTGTAATGCAGCAGTTAAGAGGCTGAGGCAGGAAGATTACCAGCCATTTGAGCCAGCGCAGGATATGCAGTGAGTTCAAAGCCAGCCTGAGCTCTGAACTACAAAGTGAGACCCTAGCTCGAAAGGGCGGGGATGTGGGGGGGAGGCTGATTGTTTTTTCACCAGGAGAGTGACAGTACTGCAACCATATTTTAGGAAGATTACTCTAGAGATGAGAGAAATGGATGAAAAGAAGGAAGACCTAGGAGGTGAGAAGGCAGCTATGAAAGGAATATACAATCCAAGGCAGTGAGTGATAATCCATCATTAGGAAAAGAACCTGAGTGGTGGGAACATGAAATGTATGTTTAATATGAACCCTCTGACTTTTAATCAATCACTTACCTTTAAACAGTACTTTTATCAATTCACAATTTTCTTCTTTTTCTGGTACCAGCAATTGAACTCAGGCCTTGCCTTACCAGGCAGGCGCTGCACCACTGAGCTACATCCCCAGTCCTCAACTGATAATTTTTCAGAATTCAACCTGTTTTTTGTTTGGTTTCTTTTTTTTTTTGCAGTACCGGTGATTGAACTCAGGACCTCACACTTGCAAGGCAGGTGTGGTGCCACTGAGCTAAATCCCCGGCCCAGTCTAATCTTTTCTTGATAGTTCTATATTAGGATTTATGTGAGCATCAACTATAATTCTTTGGCCCTAATAATAACTAACTCTTCCTGGCAGCTGAAACCCCTACGTCCTCCCATGAGTATCCCTCTGGTACTATTATTGAAAGACTCAATGAATAAATCTAAAGATAAGGAATCCTTCTGCAGGTTTCTTACAGTGCTTCAGCAATATCATTAAAACTCTTTTGTTGTGTTTCTATTCATCAAGCAGAAATGACTAATGTCTCTTCCTAACATTCAGCTGGGAGTGGTGGTGCATGCTTGTAATCCCAGCATTTGGGAGACTGAGGCAGGATAATCACTGCATGTTGAGGCCAGCCAGGGCTACATAAAACCTAT